AACACTAACCCCTTAAAATATTATATATATTTATTTAATAATATACAAAAAATTAAAAAAAAATTCATAAGCCCATATTATTCTTTTAAGTATAAATAAAATATCAATCCTAACATGTTAGGTAGAAATATATAGGCAAAAACTTACTTTTAACCCCTCACCTTGTCAAGTTTGAAGGTTTTAACCCTTCACCTTATATTATAACATTTTTAACCCCTCACCTTACCAGATTTGTAGGTTTTTGCCCCTCACTTTATACTATGGCACTTTTAGTCCCTTATCTATTAAAAATGAAGAAAATAGCCCTCATTTTGTAACATGTTGTTAGTTCTGTTAACTAACTGTTAATTCTATTAGCTGATTGTTAATTCTATTAACTGACTATTAGTTGACTGTTAACTGTCAAAAACATTCTTTCAGCTAACAGAACTAACTTTATAATATTTTGTTAATTCTGTTAATTAACTATTAGTTGATTGTTAATTGATAAAAATCTACTTTCAACTAACAGAATTAACAATTAGTATAAAGTGAGAGCTATTTTCTTCGATTTTAATAGGTGAGGGGCTAAAACCTATAAATCTAGTAAGGTAAGGGGTTACAAGTGTCATAATATAAGATAAGGGGCTAAAACCTTCAAACTTGATAAGGTGAGGGGCTACAATAGGTTTTTGCCGAATACATACATCAAATGTACTACGTGGACAAATGGGAAAAAGGCTAAAATCCTAGTAGGTGGATGGTCACGAGGTTGGACATAGACTGATCGACACATCGCCAACTACATTGTCAGTTGTTAGAATAACGGTTCAATTATGAATGTTAGTCATAGTGACAATATTTTTATAAAGTCATTGACTTTACCAAATGTTCTATTAGTTTCAAAACTTAGTTAGAATCTTCAATCATTATGACTTTTGATCATTTTCAAGCAGTCATTTTCTTTCTGTTACTCGTTTTGATCTTGTGTATTCTGACACTTGAGGTCTATTTCTTACGTCTATCATGGGGGTTCTGAGTATTTTATATTATTTATTGATGATGATACTTGTTTTACCTACATATAGTTTATGAAAAATGGCTCTAATGAAATTGAGCACAATTTTGCAAAGAAATAGCCCGCTTCCTTCTCGAGAAGGGATGGGAAACATACTCAATATCATTTGATTGAGCAGTTGACCTAGCTCCTTGTTGTTTGAAGAAACCCTCCACTTCAATTGGTATTTTTTCACGAAAAGCAAGCATGAGATAACAAATCTAGTCTTTCACTAAGATTTCAAATAACCATCTCAAATTCAAGTTGATTTTGTTTTGCCTCCTTTATTTCTGTAAGAGAGTAATATGAATATTATATCATGTTCTATCAACATGCTAAATGGATTATATGATATCTCTGGGGTGGAAGTTGGCCAACATTTACATCGGCAAATCGGAGCTTTCCAAGTCCATGCCCAAGTCTGTATTACTTCTTGGGTTGTAATTACTATCTTATGAGGTTTCGCCATTATTGTAGTTCTTGAATTTCTTCAAATATGTTCTTGAATTCATTCGAGACATGAGCAAAACTCATATTGGAGAAGAATATGGTCCGTGCATGAAATAGATTTTTTTTTAGTCTTTTTGTCAATTAATATATTAAGTATATCTATATATACATATTTTTTGTCTCTAAACTTTTAAATTGAGGGACAAAAGTTGTGAAAAATCTTAAAATTGGGGGATTAAAAATATGTATATATAAATAAATTTAACAAATTAACTGATGAAATGACTAAAAACATACATGTTTCATAGTTAAGGAAATAAAAAAATTAGAAAACCAAAATTGTGCAAAATCTTAAAGTTAGGAGACTAAGTTTGCATTTAACCTAACGAAATTTATTTTTCAGTTATGAGACCTTTTTTCAGGAGAATGCAAAAGAGTTGTTTGCTGTTTCCTTAGCGCACATGGTTATGTAGAAAATGGTTACGAGTTCTGGTAGTTTTTTTCTTTTTTAATTTAATTTAATGATGGATTATATAAAAGAAAATAATTTTTCTTTTTAAAAATTAAATTATCGTTTACATATTATTTTAAATTACATAAAAAAAATTAGAAAAAATTATATTTTAAAAAGGAAGGGAGTAACCAAAGAAGTATCTGAACTATCATGATATTGCATGCTAAAACTAAAGAAAAAATTTTTTTGATTAGTGGCGTAAAGTCTCAGTCACAATTCTTTATTAAAATAAAGTAACATACATTTTTGCTAACAAACAAAACCCACCTGCATCATTCACTAAACACACTTTTTTTTTCTTTCATTTGAACGATCAGGATGTTTATAAGTCAGCTTTTATATATTTTAAGGCCAATTTCTTCTATTAATCTTTGAAAATGCTCTATATTAACTTATTACATTTATGATAATTAATTTTCTTAAATGTTGATCTCAAAATTTAAATTATAAATCTAATTTATAAATCAACAGTTACTTATTATTGAATTTAACTTGGCTGGATTCCAAACAGAGTCTCGTTATTAGTATTTACATGATTGAGCAGTCTTGTTGAGTTTCTCCACAGCCGCTTCCATACCCGCACCAGCTGTTGCAAACGCATTGGGCTTGCCCGCCACAGGAACTTGGGCCACAAGGCCTTCCGCTACAGAATATACAAAAGCACACAACGCACTGGAATTGCCCGCCACAGAAACATGGGCCCCTAGGCCTTCCGCTACAGAATTTACAATAAATAGACCCCTGGACTTGTACATCTACAGATACTTTCACAGGCTTATCCTTAGGCGGCGGAGTCGGAGCCTTCTGAGTCTCAGTCTTAGGCGGAGTGTCAGTCTTAGATGGCTTATCAGTCTTAGGCGGATTATCAGCCTTAGGCGGCTCTTTGATCTCAATGCTCTTGATGCATCCACCACCCTTGCAGCATAACTTGTCCCTGATCTTCTCCGGCGAGCAGCTCACCACCTTAATTGTCACCTTGTTTGCCTTCTCATCATACTCCCGATCTCGTATTTCTTTAATAAATTTGTTCACGACACAACGACTCAGTCCATTACACTGATCAATTTATTCATATACGTACGGAAATTAAATTAACAAAATTGGAGAAAGAGACTCACCAGGAAATTTGCAGAGAAGTTTCCTGACCTTCTTGCAGCATTTTGAGCTCTGTAAATCCACACTTAGCACCATTGTTGTCACCTGTAAAAGCAAATATATATATATATATACACACACATATTAGAAGAGAAGGAAGTTTCCATAAAAGGATTATATGGAAGAAGAAGATTCAGGTTCTGACATAGAAGAAAGGGCAGATAAGATGAGCAAAATTAATTAGGGAGCTATGCCGATGCATCAACTAAAATACAAAGATCTATCCTTATCCCAAAAAGAAAAAAAAGAAATGGGGTATTTAATTTAATTAGCACAGACCTTCCCCTCGGCCATGGCTGCTAAACGGAGTACTAGCTAGAAGCCAACCAGAGATGTGGAGAATTAAGAAAGAATGAAATGGGGGTATTTAATGAGCACAGATCTTCTTAAGGGTCTGGTTTTCCGTACACGTAAGAGTAGTCAATGTTCGTTTTCCAAACAATACTGAGTTCACAGCTATCAGTAGTTGAAGTGGTTTTGTCTTACTGTTAAAAAAAGTTTTAAACTCAAGGACAGAGTTCCAACATGTTAATGTGCTGGCTCCAGTTCATTAAATAAAAATGGAAATTGATGGATGGGTCTCCCTTCTCCAATCAGGCCAATCCTTTACTT